TTATTATTATTATTATTATTATTATTATTGTAATACTTGTTCTTTAAATAAAAATCTGAAGGAACAAAAAAAAACATGTGTGAAATCTGCCAAGGCTCTTTGGTTTTGGAGAAAGTTTACATTTCAAGAAGACAATTGAATTTAAAGGGGACATGTGCAAAATCTACTTTTTTAGCTGTTAGCTGTTGTTGACATCTTTTAATTAAATTGTAAATAAAACATTTCTGCAAGCTAGAAAATGTAACTCCACCCCACCCCTCTCAAACYRGAGTGGACCGGTCCAGAAGCTGGAGGGGGCGGGGCTTGAAGTGTCTTAAAGGAACAGTAACCAAATGAGCTGCTTTGWGACACAYARCAGAAAAGTGGTGAAAGAGGGGCTGGAAAAGTTAAAATAAGAAAGAATTCAGACCAAAGCATTGTTGTTCCACTTTATAAAGATCCCAACTGAATGATTTAAATGTGAAAAGGAAGGATTTAAAAGCAGGAAATGTCTACTTTAAGTCATGTAGACACGGTGTAAATGTTGTACAGTGGAACTGAGTTCGTCTTGGACCTTTGATTTTAGGTTCACTAGATAAAGAAATAAACTTTTCTAAGATATTATTTAAAAACTTAGTTTGATTTTGAGATTACTGAAAGTGTAAACTGAAGAGRTGTTCTTGATGAGGATCTTACAGTTGTAAAAGCATATATGCATGCATTTATACTGTGTACACTTTTTATCATCCTCTACCTTCTATGCCCCATTTTGTCTTGTGCTTGTGCAACATTTGAACGAATGAAAGACACTTTATTGATCCCAAGGGGAAATTAGAGACACATTACATTTTAGCACTCAGAGTATATGTATAAATATGTTGGCGACCTCCCTCAGCTAATAATACAGCAAGTTRGAGCTCAATATTAGTAAAAGTGACTGATTTAGAGACAATTTTGTATTTTCTACGGTTTATCAGCTATGGCAGCTATCTTAAATCAGACTGACGTCAAAAAGTTAAGCAGTTGTTGTACATTCAGTGATCACTTTCATTTTATTTCATTAGTCTGTCAGATGATTCAAGAGATGTTTGATTAACAGTCAAACCCACAAACAAGCTTTTACATGACTGCCTGTCTTTTACAGTGGTGGGCATTGGCAAAGTGGCTGAGCTGAAGATCCTATCTGAAGAGACTTACAAAAGCCACACAAACTTATTTGTGTTTTCCTGTTTGGAAAATCCTGGGGAAAAAATTTGAAATCAAATATGTATCTAAGATCATACCACAAAAATATACACTTCAGGTTTTAATAAAAGACAGAGTCAAGATTCATGTAAATAAAGTGTTTTTGATTTTTATTTGTATTATAAAAACAAAAACAGCTGTTCTTACTGCATCTTTAGATAGCTGAGGAAAACAGTTCATGTGAACCTAAAAGAAAATGTGAAAATGCAAGTGTCTGTAAGCTCTTTGGGTAATGCCCTGGGAAAGCAGAGTTATATAACAGGATTTTTGGTTTTGATTTTGGATGCCCTTTTAGTTCCACTTTGTTTTATTTCTGAGTTTTATGAGCACATAACGTTGCTCCTCCTTCTCTCCTCATCTGTCTGTGTCCTGTGTTTCCTCTGAAGCATCTTCATCACCTGTTTCAACCTTGTCCTTCACTTCCTTCCTTCTTCTTTTTTTTTTGTGTTTGTGTAGCTCCTGCAGGATGCCCTGGCGTCAGAGGGCCAGGTGGTGGTTCTGGAGTGCAGGGTTCGTGGAAGTTCTCCCTTGCAGGTCCAATGGTACCGGCAGGGAAATGAAATTCTGGACTCCCCTGATTTTCGCATTCTCCAGAAAAGTGAGACATCAACGACCTGAACAATTTTCAATTATAGACCGTGAACTGTCCACACATAGGTGCTCAAAAACATGTTTTCTTCTCATCTGTGCCTGTGACAATGATGATGATGATGATGATGATTAGAACCTCGATCTGCAGCGGAGCCAGGTATGTTGCCTCAGGTCTATTAGAGTATGACTGTTAGTCATAAATCTTATTTTATGTTCCCCGTGCGCAGGTTCCATTAGTAATAGGTTAGAAGCTTTGTCTGGATCACAGGTTGAGTTTAATGGAATTTATGTCTCACAGAAAACTCATGTTCTGTCAGAGGGAGTCCCTGAGAAAGTCAACACATACACAAAAAGATGCAATGACACATTGACTAACTAACTGCCAACAGGTCACTCACCTGTGTGACTGAAGGTTTATGTTGGTCTGTGAGTCACAGAGAATCATCATCTGAGTGTCTGTCTGTGCTTTATGCTCATCTTCAGTCTGCTCTGTGTGTGTCTGAGCAGTGAATCATCAGTCTGCCTGAGACATCCAGCTGTGGCACGGTACAAGGGCCAAAATTCAGACTACAGTGCAATCAGCAGTTGCTGCATCCTTGAAGCAGGAGGCTATAGCCTCTTTCACAAGAGTTGCACGAAATCGCCGCACAGACCGGTCCGGTTTTAAACTCCCTCGGGTCGTTCATAAAATCACAGGAGAAGCTGCCAGTTCCTGTTCAKATGTAAAGAAATGAACCCAGCAGCATGGAACCAGAAGAGGCGCAGATCTCAGCTCAGCTGAAGTGGACCGCARCRTRTTTATTGATAGACTCATATCAAACAAAACAAACTGAATTAGCCTTCTTTAGCAATCCTGTGGTTCRATATTTTTAAACTAACTACAAAGTTACTATTTTGTGTAGTTTTTTAATGTTTCCTCTGTAGTAAATCTGTTGATTATTCCTGCAGTCGTGTACTGAGGTCTGCTTTGATCATATCAAACACACACACACACACACGTTTGCACAGCTATCCAACTGGGGACATTCCATTGACTTCCATTACACTTCAACAGCCTAACCCTGATCACAAACCCCAAGGCTAACCTCACACACACACACACACACACACACACACACAC